TATTATCACCTGTGCTTTAAAATCCTTTAATAGCTCCTCAACAACTATGGTGCCTTGGTTTTCAAACAAAATTCAAATTCCCAGGCCCTGTTCCCCCAAATTCTGATTCAGTCTCTTTATTTCACACTTTGAAAAATACTGGCCCAAATTTCTGAGCTTAACTTGCCAAGCAAATCATGATCTGGCCCCTGATTATCCTTCCATCCTTATCTCTGCCCACACCTCTACTTGTGCCTTATGCGCTAGCTCAGGGATCAGTAAACTCCAGCCCAACTGGCAAGCCAAAGCCAGCCTGTTGCCTGTTGGGGGAAATAAAGTTTTATCAGAACACAGCCACATCCATTCATTACATTCTGCCTACAGTTGCTTTCACGCTGCAGTGGTAGAGTTAATTGCAACAGAGATCGATCACATGGCCCACAAATATTTACTATCTGCCCCTTTAAAGAAAATTCCCCAATTCCTGCTCCAGCTTGTACCAAAATACTTATTTCCCAGTGCAATATGCTTTAGTATAGGACATTCCCTCTTTCCCATTTTTTGAGGGACTCCTATTCTTCCTTACAGATTCATTCCTACTGTGTGAACCCATGTCTGACATACCCAGTTAGGCATCCATTCTTAGTGCCCCCAAAGCACTTTGCCACGACTGCCCTCATTTCTTACCTCACCACGTTATAATTATTTTTCTGTATGTCTGTCTAGCCCACTGAAACATAAGCTCCTGAGAATAATTATAAACTCTTACCTGTCTTTGTATCTCTAGCACAATGCCTCATATTACATACATATTAGGTGTCCAACAAATGTTTGACGATGAATGAATAAATGAACAAACTTTTAGGAAAACCTTAAAGAGCAAAACATTCTGAGTAAGGTTATTTAAACTTAGATTTCAACTGATATCTGTAGAGGTACCCTAGTTAAAATGTACCCGTAGCCTGTGCAGGTAAGGAAGGCACATTTAAAACATGAATATCTACTGTCTAGGTTGGTAAACGAGCTGGCTCTTCTGTCTTGCTATCATGGAAAGCATGGATAGAGCAGGAGGACAGAAAAGGCAGAAAGTCTCTGGGCTCCGTGGCACTGCCCAAGGAAGGTAGTTCCAACTATAGCAAAGGATGGCTAAGGGGCTGACAGGAGGGACTTCAGGGGCCAAAGGACAGCTCTGAGAATGTCAAAGAGATTTTGGGCCAGGTTAAAATTTTTGTGAGAACCAGCAGTACTCAGAACAACTGAATGGAACAAATGACCGAAGGGGTAAGGAAGGTATAAGAAACCTCATTTTCAAAGAATCATGTGGAGCACAGGTGGAAAGGAAGTATAGAGGAGAAGGGCAGCCCATCTTAGCATCCTGTGGCCAGTGGCTGACCCGCTCTCTCACCAGTCCCTCAGCTGGAACTTGGTGCCCTAAACTGTCAGGCTGGGCAATACAGAATGGTGGTCTTTTACCAGCTTAGTCTGCGGCAGGAACACAGCTGGTCTAGGATATTTCAAGTTACTCATTCATTCATTCATTCGATAAACATGAAAGTCAAATAGAAAATAAGAAACCCTCTGTCTATGATCAAAGCCTCTGAAAATAACACATTTCAGTTTTCTTGGTAATTGAATGCAGCACGTTAGGGAGAAGAGGCTTTCATAAAAACAAGCGCTTTTTCTTAGTGGTGTACAAGCAGGTAGGCTCAGGAGACTACCTTTCTCACACAATCTGACAGTTAAGGGCACCGTTTAAGGTCATTTCATGCCCCATCCCGTTGTCCCTGTCCCACTGTGGGGCACAGTTAGCAGCAGAGGGTAGCATGGGGGAAACACAGCTGCAAATGTCATGCAACAGCGCACACTTAAAAATTACTAAAATGAGCATCTCAGGTGCCTATTGAACTGTGTTAAAGACCGAGGAAGTCACTGACAGGTAATATGATAAGGATAATATTTTCCGAGTGCCTATCATGTGTTAGACTCTGTATTCGATGCTTCATATGCATTATCTCTAATCCTCAACAAAGCCTGGGAAGAAGGTATTGACCATCTAACAGATAGAATGGAAGCTCAAAAAGGTTAAATAACTTAGCCAAGATTTTTTCCTTCCCAACTAGCCTAAGTAGAAATCTATTCAATCAGAATTTGAGATCTGCTACTACTTAGCACTTCCCCAAGCCCCCCTTTTAGATGCCCAGTCTGTCTCTTGCTTTATTTTCCCCCTTAGCTGTAGTCTGTATACTCTGGCTGGCTGGCTCAAGAGAGCAAACTGATTAATAAAGCCCAGGTACATTTAGGACAGTCTCCTTAATGCCACTCTGTTCCAATTCAATTCAGTCACTATTAACCAGTACTCTATGATGTAACATAAGAGGCACATTGCTACCTACCTGGAAGGCAAAGCTGCACTCCCATTCAAAACTGTCCTGCCCTGACTCCAGGAAACTAGACGGCAGAAGGTGGAAAGCTCTTGGCAAACTCATTCACCACCACTGATGAAAACAACTCAGAATACAGAATCTTTCTAATGGGATTCATTACATCATCATCATGTTTCCTGACCTGCTCATTCAAATACTGCCTCTCTGTAACTGCTGCACCTGCCCACTTTGTCCTCTTCCTGTTGCCCTAGCCTTGCTGTCAGCCAGTTTGTCATCTTTTATGCTCTCACCAGCACAACCACCATATACTTCCAAGCCTCAACTTTCCCCTTATACAGGGGAAAACGGAACCTCAGACTCCATCACCCATACATAATGTGAGGGAAAAGTGTGTTTTGTGTGTGAGTATGTAGGTATCTATGAGGAGAATACAATTTTGCAGGACTGTAACAACTAGAGCACAGGGAAAGGCAGGCCTAGGAGCCTTTTTAAAAGACTGTTTCATACCACCTGACTGCTGAAAGAGCAGTCCAGTCTTGCTGCACGTGGCATTTAAATATTACTCAACCACAGCTACGACATGTATTCAAAGTGAAAGTAGTGTATTCACAGAGGCACTATCCATCCAGAGACATCTGAAGTGGTTTTTCTTTTCCGTAATCATTAAAGATTGAAGAAACTGCTGGTTTTTAAATACCGTCACAATACAATGAATTAATAAAGAATGAGTACTGCATTTGTTTTGCTTAGCTATGAACCTTCTAAGAAGTTATGAAAAGCCTACCCCCCAAAATTAACTTCACTCTTTAGGCAAAACCATAACACTTTATACCTTCCACTAGAGCTTGCCTGTTTCTAGAAATAAGTCCTATGTTATTTTATAGGTAGATAAGGTAACTCAAAATCCTATGTATTTTTCTTGAATTTATTTGAGATTACTGAAGACTCTGAGAAAGTTATTACATGTTTCAAAGGTTCAAAAAAGAAACAGGGCTTCCCTGGTGGCGCAGTGGTTGAGAGTCCGCCTGCCGACGCAGGGGACACGGGTTCGTGCCCCGGTCTGGGAAGATCCCACATGCCGCGGAGCGGCTGGGCCTGTGAGCCATGGCCGCTGCGCCTGCGCGTTCGGAGCCTGTGCTCCGCAATGGGAGAGGCCACAGCAGTGAGAGGCCCGCGTACCGCAAAAAAAAAAAAAAAAAAAAAAAGGTTCAAAAAAGAAACAACTGAAAACTATGTAGAATATACTGTGAGAGTCTCAAACAGAGGACATTAAAGAATATGTTGCTTTAGCGTCCTTTCCCAGCCATATCTAGGAAAGATAGTGGATACAGTATTTGGACTTAATTTCAAAGTTAACACTGAAAGATCAAGCTAGCAAAGGCTGTTATGGAAAATTATCTTCTGATTTTTCTGGAAAACTTTCAGAACTCCTCCTTTCTGTCTGGGAAATACCACTTCCTATTAGGAGGGGTTTGCTCCTTCACAAATAAGCTTCCTCTAGGTGAGTCCTGATTCCAGAGTACTGCCTTGCGCTTTCCCTGCTTGCATTTCTCTCGGAGCCTTCTGCAGGAACAGGAAGAGGAGATAAGGTAGAATAACACGAGCAGCACAGAGAAGATGGAAATTTTTTCAATCTCTCTGAGGATGGGTGAAACAAAAACTTGATAGTACCAAAATGTTACTGGTTAGGTGGAGGGGAAAAGGGTACCCAAACGAAGGAAAAAGCTACCACAAGCAGCATGCCAGAGAGTGTGGAAAGTAAGACCTCTGGAAAGCATAGGGAAGAGTGTCTATTCTGAAAACTGGAAAACTCTAGAGTCTGATTCCTTTAAAAAAAAAAAAAAGTCCAACTTCCTAAACACTCTAAAACATCGATAAGCTGATGATGAATAAACTGACCATCACTATCTTCATGACATATAACTAGACAACACTAACGCGGATAGACAAAGGTTATACATAAACTATATGAATTAACCAATAATGAATACTGTCGGTCATCTTATCATCATAGGGATAAGCGATCTGGAGAGGGAAAGGGGGATGGGGGTGGAATATTAAGATAGATTAACAAGAAGGAATTCATTCCTTTTCTTGGAGAAGGATTTCTAGAGGAGGTTAGATTCCAGACTCTGGACGAATAGCAACAGGAGCTTAGCAGAACAGCTCAGAGGGGGAGTGAACCGATTATATGAATGGGGCATTGAGTAAGGGAGCCTGGGAGAAGAAAGGGGGACCGTCAAGGGGAACAGGGCCGGTTCAGGGTGCCCTAGTTAAGGCCTCCAACGTGGAGAAAGACTGGGTGGGGGGCAAAGGAAGGCAAAAAGAAAAAGCACAGTAGTTTCTTCACTTATCTCGGGAGGACTAGGGTTTACACTACCTGGAAAAGCTGACCAACAGGCTTGCCCTGGGTGTGATTTTCCAGAGGAGTGGGCCCTTGCTGGAAGAACGCAGCCCGCTGTTCCCACAATTCCTGTCTGGGTAGCTGGGGTCATAGCTGGAGGCGCAGAGATGTCTAAGGCCGGTGTCTCTTGGGCGCTGCGTGGGTTACGGGGCTGAGGCTCAGCGGCGGGACGGGAACTTAGCGACAAGCAGGCGGCGGCGGCAGCAGCTGCGCGTGCAAACCCCGGGACTTACCTTACTGTCATCCATCTCGGCAGACAGGCCAGCCCGGCCGGGCGCTCCCTCCCCCGGCCCTCCCCCGGCTCAGCCGGCCTGGCCCGGCCCGGCCCCAGCCCCGGGGGGAGAACGGGATAAGGTTCTGACTGCCTCCTCCTCTCGCCTAACAGTTCGCTTCCCTGATGCCACAGTCACGGGGACGAGGGACCAGTTCAGGGATGGCAGAGCTGACCCTGGAGGCGGCGCATAACGCCTCCCTTCGCCGCGGCTGCCTCCTCCTCCCCCTCCATGACAGGCTCCGGCTGTGTTTACAGACGCCCTGGAGAGAGGCTCGGACCCGAGAGAGGACGGCAGCGCGGCGCGGGGATTGGCCGCTTCGGCTTCCGTAGCACCGCGGCGTTCTGGGGATTGTAGCTTTCGTTACCGCGGTCTCTGCGCGGCGAACCAAAAAGGAAACTACGATGTCCACAGAGCCTCAGAAAGGCGTCAGTTTTCCTGCCGGCGAGCGCTACGCAGGAGGGGCCGAAACTACGTTTCCCACAATGTTTTGGTCCCTGGGTTCCAGCGGTCCGGGCGTGGGGAGGGGACCCTAGGAGCCCCGCAGAGGCGGACCTGAAGGAGGGGCCCTGGGAGCAGGCCCTCCTCACAGACACCGAGGAAACCCTGAAGGTTGTTTATTTTAAAAATTCAACCCCCCCAAACAAAACAAAACAAAACAAACAAACAAAGAACCTAAGAATGCACAACGGTGCAGCTGCTTCTGGAAACCATTTGACAGTTCCGATATTAGACACAGAGTTACCATACGGCCAGCAATCCCACCGGAAATGACACCGTGTGTCCCCACGAAAACTTGTGCAGTAACGTTCTGTCCTAAAGGCGTTATTCTTAGTAGTCAAAAAGTGGAAACAACCCAAGTGTTCAACAGTGGATGAATGGCTGGCCAATTGTGGTATTTATATTCAAAGGAGTATTATTCCTCAATGAAAAGGTATGAGGTACTGATACATGCTGCAATGTGGATGCGCGAGGATAAGCCTTGAAAACACACAGTGAAAGAAGCCAGACCCAGAAGGCCACATATCGCGGATTCCATTTATAATGAAATGTCCGGAATAGGTACATTTAAAGAAACAAAAAGCTGGTGAGTGGATGCAGGGGGCTAGGGTTGGGGAACAGCAGGGAGGGAGGGGGGCCAGGAATGGGGAGTGATTTTTAATAGGTACTGGGTTTCTTTTGAGGTGATGAAGCTGTTCTAAAATTGATTTAGGGATGGCTGCACAGCTCTGAATATACTAAAACCCACTGAATTGTATACTTTAAATGACTGAATATTATAGTATGTGAATTACATCTCAATAGTAAGTAACAAAGAATGTCTTGGCATCCTCCTGATTTAGTAAAGTCAGTGAGCTTGTTGTTTTGGCCTGTGTTAGGCCATGGCGAATTTGACAAAGATTGTCTTTATTAATGTTATTCTGGAGAGCCCTTTGACTCACTCCTTTTCAGACTCCTACAGCGCTTTGCTAAACCCTTCCAAAGTTCAAATGAGGTAGAGTTCCCAGATTTAGCAATAAATATACAGGGGCTTCCCTGGTGGCGCAGTGGTTGAGAGTCCGCCTGACGATGCAGGGGATACGGGTTCGTGCCCCGATCTGGGAAGATCCCACATGCCGCGGGGCGGCTGGGCCCGTGAGCCATGGCCGCTGAGCCATGGCCACTGAGCCTGCGCGTCCGGAGCCTGCGCTCCGCAACAGGAGAGGCCACAACAGTGAGAGGCCCGCGAACCGCAAAAATAAATAAATATACAGGACACTCACATTTGAATTTCAGATAAACAAATACCTTTTTAGTATAAGTATGTCCCATACAGTACTTGAGACACACTTTTACTGAAAAAAGCATTCATTGCTTATCTGAAAGTCAGATTTAACTCTGTGTCTTCTATTTTATCTGACAACTCCAAATTGAGGAAGAGTAATAATAGAAAAGCAGAATTGTCTCTGTCCGACCTGTACAACGCTTCAGAGGAACTAAAGCAGGTCAGCCCCTCAGATGTGGGGTTGCAACTTTCGGCCCAGCCAGGGTAGGGGGGCATCTGTAACCTCCAAACCGTGTTCCAGGCAGTCTCAGAGACGTCTAGCCGCATCCTCTCTGATGATCAGGGGAGCAAAGCCTGTGCTCCTTGCAGGTTCTTCTCCTCTTTCCTCACCTAATACCCCTTTTCCGCACCCAGTAAGGCCTCAGTCCTCCTCCCCAGCTATGCCCTTGCCGCTGCTAAGCCCTCTTCTTCGGGGTGGAACTGCCTTTCCCCCGGGGTTAGTCCTCTGTCACTCTGTCTGCATCCCTGCTGACAAAAGTGCACCGGGCCCTCAGGAAGGAGGACTAAGACCTTTTGAACCAGGTGATGGAAATTTAAACACGTGCTAGGGAAGCAGTATGTACACCAACTTCAGGAGAGCGGTTTTCTGTAGGGAGGGAGAGAGAGAAATGGGATGGAGAGGGTCTCCTGGTGGTTAGCTGTAGATTTAACTTTTTTTTTTAAAGAATGGTAACATTTTTATTTATTTATTTATTTTTATATTTATTTTTGGCTGTGATGAGCCTTCGTTTCTGTGCGAGGGCTTTCTCTAGTTGTGGCGAGTGGGGGCCACTCTTCATCGCGGTGCGCGGGCCTCTCACTATCGCAGCCTCTCTTGTTGCGGAGCACAGGCTCCAGACGCGCAGGCTCAGTAGTTGTGGCTCACGGGCTTAGTTGCTCTGCGGCATGTGGGATCTTCCCAGACCAGGGCTTGAACCTGTGTCCCCTGCATTGGCAGGCAGACCCAGCAATCCCACCGGAAATGACACCGTGTGTCCCCACGAAAACTTGTGCAGTAACGTTCTGTCCTAAAGGCGTTATTCTTAGTAGTCAAAAAGTGGAAACAACCCAAGTGTTCAACAGTGGATGAATGGCTGGCCAATTGTGGTATTTATATTCAAAGGAGTATTATTCCTCAATGAAAAGGTATGAGGTACTGATACATGCTGCAATGTGGATGCGCGAGGATAAGCCTTGAAAACACACAGTGAAAGAAGCCAGACCCAGAAGGCCACATATCGCGGATTCCATTTATAATGAAATGTCCGGAATAGGTACATTTAAAGAAACAAAAAGCTGGTGAGTGGATGCAGGGGGCTAGGGTTGGGGAACAGCAGGGAGGGAGGGGGGCCAGGAATGGGGAGTGATTTTTAATAGGTACTGGGTTTCTTTTGAGGTGATGAAGCTGTTCTAAAATTGATTTAGGGATGGCTGCACAGCTCTGAATATACTAAAACCCACTGAATTGTATACTTTAAATGACTGAATATTATAGTATGTGAATTACATCTCAATAGTAAGTAACAAAGAATGTCTTGGCATCCTCCTGATTTAGTAAAGTCAGTGAGCTTGTTGTTTTGGCCTGTGTTAGGCCATGGCGAATTTGACAAAGATTGTCTTTATTAATGTTATTCTGGAGAGCCCTTTGACTCACTCCTTTTCAGACTCCTACAGCGCTTTGCTAAACCCTTCCAAAGTTCAAATGAGGTAGAGTTCCCAGATTTAGCAATAAATATACAGGGGCTTCCCTGGTGGCGCAGTGGTTGAGAGTCCGCCTGACGATGCAGGGGATACGGGTTCGTGCCCCGATCTGGGAAGATCCCACATGCCGCGGGGCGGCTGGGCCCGTGAGCCATGGCCGCTGAGCCATGGCCACTGAGCCTGCGCGTCCGGAGCCTGCGCTCCGCAACAGGAGAGGCCACAACAGTGAGAGGCCCGCGAACCGCAAAAATAAATAAATATACAGGACACTCACATTTGAATTTCAGATAAACAAATACCTTTTTAGTATAAGTATGTCCCATACAGTACTTGAGACACACTTTTACTGAAAAAAGCATTCATTGCTTATCTGAAAGTCAGATTTAACTCTGTGTCTTCTATTTTATCTGACAACTCCAAATTGAGGAAGAGTAATAATAGAAAAGCAGAATTGTCTCTGTCCGACCTGTACAACGCTTCAGAGGAACTAAAGCAGGTCAGCCCCTCAGATGTGGGGTTGCAACTTTCGGCCCAGCCAGGGTAGGGGGGCATCTGTAACCTCCAAACCGTGTTCCAGGCAGTCTCAGAGACGTCTAGCCGCATCCTCTCTGATGATCAGGGGAGCAAAGCCTGTGCTCCTTGCAGGTTCTTCTCCTCTTTCCTCACCTAATACCCCTTTTCCGCACCCAGTAAGGCCTCAGTCCTCCTCCCCAGCTATGCCCTTGCCGCTGCTAAGCCCTCTTCTTCGGGGTGGAACTGCCTTTCCCCCGGGGTTAGTCCTCTGTCACTCTGTCTGCATCCCTGCTGACAAAAGTGCACCGGGCCCTCAGGAAGGAGGACTAAGACCTTTTGAACCAGGTGATGGAAATTTAAACACGTGCTAGGGAAGCAGTATGTACACCAACTTCAGGAGAGCGGTTTTCTGTAGGGAGGGAGAGAGAGAAATGGGATGGAGAGGGTCTCCTGGTGGTTAGCTGTAGATTTAACTTTTTTTTTTAAAGAATGGTAACATTTTTATTTATTTATTTATTTTTATATTTATTTTTGGCTGTGATGAGCCTTCGTTTCTGTGCGAGGGCTTTCTCTAGTTGTGGCGAGTGGGGGCCACTCTTCATCGCGGTGCGCGGGCCTCTCACTATCGCAGCCTCTCTTGTTGCGGAGCACAGGCTCCAGACGCGCAGGCTCAGTAGTTGTGGCTCACGGGCTTAGTTGCTCTGCGGCATGTGGGATCTTCCCAGACCAGGGCTTGAACCTGTGTCCCCTGCATTGGCAGGCAGACTCTCAACCACTGTGCCACCAGGGAAGCCCTAGATTTAACTTTTAAAGAGATGAAGCAAATATGTGAAATCTCGTGGTGGAGAGTACGGTGTGTTGTTTTCTTCGTATTTCTTTACATTGAGAAACTATAAACATGCTCACTTTTGAAAGTGTGGAAATACTTTAAATTATTTACTAAAAATTTAATTTATAAAAACAAGTAATCACATCATAAAATAAGACTTGGTAAAGGGAAGAAAATCTTATGAAGGAGAATTGTATAGTCATATGTTAAACATTTGCTGAGAAGTACCCAGGATTGGTAACAAAGGGGTGAGGAAGAACAGAAGAAAAGTATTTGCTTCTGTTAATTTAAATCCTCAAGGAGCCTATAATCCAGGAAG